AAAGATGTGCACTATTCTTGTGATCAGCTCACACTATATAAAGACCTGTACTTCAATCAATCAATCAAATATTTTTATTTTACCTAATAATGTACACTTGTAATTTACAAAACAAATTATAAAAATCAATTATAAATAGGTAAAATAGGAACTAGAAATAGCCGTTGACTAATCTAGTCTGATTCCTAGTCTGATTATCTTTTTCTTTTCAAATCTTCACTGTAGACACGAGAAGAAAACAAAAAAGCAGCTGCTGCAAGGAAGAGAGAACGACGAAAGCAAAAGAGAAAAGGCAAACAAACAAAAGAAAATGCTTCAGATATGTTGTTTGATGAAAATGAAACTGAGATGATTTCTATGAAAGAATCAAAAGGTGAGACAAGAACAACTTGACATAGGACTGTTATTCTACATTAGAACAAAGCTACTTGAATCAGGGTACTCTGGTGGTCAGAATGAGGCCATTTAGGGCCCAGGTAGCCAGTTCTATTCAATTTGATTTAAAAGAATGAATCAAGAGTACCCCTCTTCACTCTTAAAAAAGCTTCAGAATGTCATATTACATGCATGTAATATTTTGTTATTCTGATTGTTTTTCAGTTGAGGATTTGGTACCAATAGAACCGCCCAGTGCTACTGTTACTACTACAATAGGTACGACGCTAACAACCTTCACCGAATCATCACGTAATGTTAAAGCGTCAACTATAACTGTAACTACTGCCAGCAACAAGAAGACAAGAAACAAAAATACTGATTCAACCGTGAAAGAAAAAGAGTTGTACAGAGCTGGGGATCGAAATAGAAACCTCAACAACAATAACCGCAATGTGGCTAACCAGAAAAAAGGAATTGGGTTTTCACGTTCTACATCATCAGTAGCTGAGTTGGATGATTTTGGTGATATTGGTTCTGTTGGTAAAACAGATGGAAAACTCCGTAATGGCAATGTATTACCAGCTTCAATTTTACACCTGTAAGTTAATTGACGGTCTGGTTCTGAAAATGGGGACATATGGTTTGACCTCTGTGTGTGCATGCGTCCAGACCATCATTTTGTTTGTCAGATTCTATTAAAAATAGCCGACCGGCGGCCATTTTGTTTTAATGAATGCAGTTCTGGTGCCATATCTCTGACATGATATGACTGATTATATTCAAATTTTATATAATCATTATACATCATGTCATGTCATAGATATACAGATGTATTCAAAATTGCCGACCATTTTGTTTTAATTAATGCTGTTCCAGAGCAATATCTAATATTTATTTACAAATGTATTGGACAAATGCATGTTGGCAAGTCTATTGTAATCTATTCAATATGGTTATTAGGGAGTTAATTAATAATTATTTTTAACCTGATTTTCAGAAATTCCGTTAAGTTTGCGGACCGGCTTATACCTCCCACGGAGCAAATAGCTGTGCCGTCAGTGATTGGAAAAACAGGATCAAGTCCTAAAAAAGGGCCCAAAAGAGAAGAAGGGTGGAAAGAAGTTGTCAGAAGGTACTAAAAGTTTTTAAAAAATATGTTATTTGTGATGTTTGTTTATAAAACCACAGAAGCTTTCTATGTCTAACGTACCACTAATGTACCAGTTTGTTTCAAATAACAGAAAATTTGTCTGAAATGACCTAAATCTTGGTCAGATCAATTTTTGTCAAGAATAAAAATCAATAAGCTAGTTCTCTTCATGGTGCAATGTTCTGATAAGATTGTGTGCTTTGGTTCCAGCTGGTTTGGAATTTGCAGGTTTCAAATATTCCCATTTTGTATGATCTGATGAAATCCCTCGCTGACCTCTGACCCATGTAAACATTCCCACTAGTCATTGACGCTGCAGGTCGGTGTCCTTTCTACACCGATCTGATGCATATCGCGCACGGTGTGCCAGGAGTTTGTCCGAAATTTCAAACTTTTCAAGGTTAATCATTGATTGCCACGTTTTTCATGGATATATTAAATCGTTTCAGGGACCTGTTTACTAAATAATGATAAATGAAACTTAGAAAACCTGTAAAAACAAACTGGACCCAAATTGCGCAAATTTGCAATAAGTTTACTCTGTTAGCGTCTGGTTCGGAAGGAGTCCTACAAGTGATTTTATCACATTTAAGTAGGTTCTATTTTCAAACTAGTTGAAACCGGAAATTACGCAAGTACTTTCGAACTTAAAACACCAATTTTATTATCGTTATTATGTGTTAGTTGCTGTTGTTTCAAAGATTGAATTATTTATGACATTAATATTTCACTCACTAAATACTATTTCACTAAAATACACGATTAAAAAGCAACTAAAATTGTAAAAGGAAGTATCAAGTTCCTTGTATAAGCACTAGTGTAAAGAGGCGGCGGAGCGCTATTTTAGCCAAAATCGGCTAGTAAGGCGTCATATGACACAGGTCTGTGCTGGGACAGCGCTTCCTGTGACGACACAACGTCCCACTAGTATGATCTGGTGAAAACCTTTCACTGACCTCTGACCCATGTAAGCACATTGTTGGGGATTTGGATTTTGTACAGTTTGTGAAAAATCTTATTCAACAAAATTCTGAAATCAAATTTACATTTCGCTCCTAAAGTAATTTGATGGCTTTGAGTGATTACAAAAATGAAAAGTGTTTGATTTGCTGATTAAACGGCACATCCTTCAATATTCAAAAATTTCAGGGTTTTTTGCTAATCACAATAGTACCTTGGAAATATTTTCTGCATTACAATACAAAGTGGAAATCAACTTGTGCCTAATTTTAGGATAAAACCAGTACTACTGATTCACTTTTGTTTAATAATGCATTTATTATTTTGTTTGCAGGTCTAAGAAAGTGAATGTGCCGGCATCTGCTATAAGCCGTGTTATTGGCAGAGGTGGTTGTAATATCAATGCAATAAGAGAAGTCTCTGGAGCTCATATTGATATTGATAAACAAAAAGGAGGAGATCGGGTCATAACTATAAGGTAATGCTGCTTTACTGTTGTATGTGCAGTGTGCTTTTGTGCTGTTTTGACTCTGATCCACAGCTGAAACTATGGAATCACAATTTCAGAAATTGTCAATTGAAATGCACCTCCTTTTTACAAATGAAAACTGCCAAGATATTGTCATTGAGATTGTTCTGGATGTTATATTAATTTTTTACCTACTTTTGCTCCAAAGTATTGTAGATTTCTGAGAGACTTTGTCTACACAGTTCCAACATATTTACGTATAAATATAATGTGAATACAATCTGCAGTTGTTCTGATCTTACAACTTCCAGAGCCATCTCAACAAAATCTTGGTGGTTTTCAGAAACCTTGAAAAATATATTACTGTATAACACATCTTTTTACCTAGCTTTTTGTTTTAACTCGTTTATTTTCTCTTATAATTTCACTGCCAAATTGTTTTGATCACCAAAACTTTACTAGCTAAGTTGCTGGCTGGTTTGCCATGCACGCCTTGAGTTGTGTCAAACAAACATCAACTTCAAACCATAAGTCAAGTCATTAAGTCAAAGTCACAAACTGGTTCCTGTAATTTTACATTTTACTTCACTTCACTAGGGGTTCTGCAGATGCCACCAGACAGGCCCATCAACTAATAACAGCATTAATAAAAGACCCTGATAAAGAACTAATGGAAATAATGCCGAAAATGAAACGTTCTCGCACTGTTGCACTCGGTATGTTTACACCTACCACTGTCACTTCATCAGCTGGCACATCAACCAGAACACGAATGGTGATGTCACGGTCTTCATCAGCAAAAACAACCACCTCGGCATCCAAGATTAGTAAGAAAACCAGTTCTACTGCCATCAAAACAACCACTGTTACTACAAGTAATGTTACCAACTCCTTCAGGTTATCCATGTCAATCCCTGCTGCAAATACTACAATACTTCAATCACAAAGTAATTCAGGGAATGTGGTTCACCCAACCTTTCAAGCTCCTGTTCTACCCCTCTCAGGCATACCCGCCAACCCTTATCATCCCCACATTGCCCCAGCAGTGTTTGCTGCCAACCCAATGCATCCACAGTTGAGACATCCAAATATTCCTCCAATTTCACAGTTTCCAGCTCATTACCAGCCTGTTGCAGCTGCCCCTGGATGGGGCACTTACCCGGTTGTACCTCCACAGCCCAGAATTAAAGCTTCTGTCTCGCCCAAACAAAGCAGCGGTAATCCAACAGTAAGACCAGCCTCCCTTCAACCAGATAAAAAGGCATCCCGCCAGCTTTTTCCAGAGTCGAGTTCTGCACCAACAAGGCCAACCAATTTACCTACGAAAGAAACTTTTGCATCAAAGATACAAGGAAAAAATGTTTACTCTCTTGGAAGCAGCAGTGCTGATGGCAGTTCTGGGGAATACAACCTGTTCTCTCAAGTGGCTCAAACCAGAAGCTTAACTGTGTGGGAGCGAAATACCAATCCATCCCAGTCTGCCAACTCAGATATTGATAAAATGAAAGCTCCTGGATATCGTGGCAGTATGAGCGGTACCACCTCACCAGCATTAAGCAGTCAAGGCTCTCTTACAGCTCCGTCACCTTCGCCTGATTTGCTACAAACGTCCACAACTGCCACAGCTAATCCCCACCAGTTCTCTCCCCTCCCCGAGCATAATTCTGTGCATTCTCCCACTCCCTCACAGACCACTTCATCAGCAGGGTCTCCTTCAACCTCTCCTGTTTCCAGTACTTCTCCATCACCTGTTGGCATTGTCAACGAGTCTCCAGTCCCAGGTAGTCATGACCGTAAACTGCCAAGACCAATTGGTACGGAGAGAGCTCACAAGAAGACCAACTGCGTGGTAAACAGTGGCTATGCTGATATTGGAGGCGATATGAATCCACAGAGTGGTGGAATCTGGTCTTTCTCCACAAATCCTGGTATGTTTTAAGTTAATATTGGTGCTTTTATGCAAGCAAGAAACGATTATATTTCGGCAATCTTTTATTCATCTATCATTTTTTCAACAAATCATTTCTGTACCTGTTTATGTTCGATATAGGGTTCTGCCCAGCCTCATTTGAGTATTGGCCACTAATGAATATTCATGAATTGTTATCCTAGCAGTTGCGAATTCGCTACTTTAATTAATTTAACTCCAAATACTTTTAATAAAAATGAAGAATTTGACAACTTTTTTTGAATTTTCTCTAAAATACATATCTAGAGATTTTGTCTTGACTTTAACACATTTCGAAATAGAAATAAGAATGTTATCTTATTTTCAAGTTGATGCCACACATGTATGTGGATTTGGAAAAGTTTTGTCAATTTCCGATCAAGTGCTGTTAAATGTGTTAACAGACAATATATTGATATATAGTACTATTGATATTCTATAAACAATAGTGCTAGTCGCCAACTCCTTGCTCTGGTCAAAGATTCTGCATGCTGGACGCAAGGGAACGTGTGCTAATTCCTAGGGTCCAATGCGATGTAAAGACCATTTGTAAAATGCATTACGAATGCGCACTCTGCACAATGATTGTGATGCATTCAGTTTGTAGGAATGAGTTTGTTAAGTAAATGAATTAAATAATATTTTCTCTTCTTATAAGACAATACAACTGATTGGCTTGCTGGAGGACATGCTACAATGCTGCTTGCGACATCACAGTCTGATGTCATGTTACCAATGCCAGCTGAAGTATCTACAAATGCGGCTCTACCTACCTTCGTTAGTGCTAAGGGCTCTGTACTGGGTAACACTCCTATTGTAAGTAATATTTCTATTGTTATTCCACCCCTGTCTGTTGATTTATCCATCCAGTCGTCTGTTATTAGTCCCCGTTCGGACGCAGTCCGAAAACGGGGACTTATGTTTTGCCCTGTGTGCGTCCGTCCGTCCGTGCGTCCGTGATCACCTGTATCTCGAACATGCATCGACCGATTAAGTTCAAACTTCACTCATACATCACACATTATATGGGACATATGCACATGCATTTTTTTCATGATCCGATTAACGATAGCCGAATAGCGGCCATTTTAAGGCCGAAAATGCATGAAAATCGCACATTTTCACCATTCCGGACCCGGATCTCAGTTATGCATGGACGGATTTCGTTCAAATTTGGTACATACATTAAACATAATAGGACCTTGATGCACGTCATTTTTTTTTCCGGATCAAGTTCGAAATAGCCGACTGGCGGCCATTTTGTTTTAAAGAATTCAGTTCTGGATTCGTATCCGAGACATGTCTGGATTGATCAAGTTCAAACTTCACACACACAAGGTACATCATGTCACAAATATGTATGTGCATTTGTTTCATGATCTCATTAACGATAGCCAAATGGGGGCCGCTTTAAGGCCGAAAATGCATTGAAATCGCACATTTTCACCATTCCGGACCCGTATCTCAGTTATGCATGGATGGATTTTGTTCAAATTTGGTACATACATTAAACATACAGTACAGTTCTCGCGGAAGCTTTGGCTTCACTTCAGCGTCAGCTTCGCTTCAGCATCGCATCATGATGGCATTGCTATGGCTTCAGCGTCGCTTCAATGTCGCGACATAAAAGGTTGAGGCGGTTATCGCATCGCTTTATTGTAGCCTCATTATGGCGACAATGTGGCATCAGCTTCGCTTCATCGAACAAAGAAGTAATTTACATATGTAAACAATGCTGAGAAGTATCGTAGTTAGCCGTATGTTCACACCGATACTCTTTGCTGTCTTACACGCAAGCTGTATTATCTAAATGCTCGGTTCAAGCACGGTTACTTCTTCTAGTAACCGTGGTTCAAGCTAAATCATGCATG